AAGATTGACTACTGTCTAGTTTTGGAAGTATTACTCTCTCCAAGAATTGATTAATATCTTCATCTGTTGGATTTATTTGTGGAGTATATAAAGTTTTATAGAAATCTCTAAAAACACTATTTACTTTTTCCTCGTCATAAGTTATGTTACCATTTGTGTCTTTAATACCATATATAGACGTTTTTTCTTTATTTAATTTGAGTTGATTAGCTAAAAAGCTACCGGATTTATTACTGTGTTCAAAATGTTCCAAGCGAAGTCTTTGTACTAAGAATTTGTTTTTTTTGTCAATACATTCATTTAGTTCTAATTTTATCTTGCGTAGTTTTTTCTGTGTTTCCTCTCCTTGTAAACTTTCTAATAATTTGATAGATTTCTCTAATTCCTCAATACGTTTATTTTCTTTTTTCTTTTTGTTTGTTGCGTAGGATATTATTTTCCCTCTCATAACTGTTTTCCCAGCCTCCCAGAGTGTACACGCTGATGTACCTGGCAAGTCATTAAACTCTAAATACGATGTCCATTCATTTTGAAAGTATTGTATAAATTCTTCATCCATAAGCAGTGAGGTATTTAATCTCCAGTTTATACTTTTTGGGATTTCTTTCTTATTATCTAAATTTAAAGTAACTGGTGCATGATCGCTGACAGCAATAGGGTGTATCTTAGTGTCTGAAATGTTGGTCAGCAATGAGTTGCTGATTATAAAATAATCCAGACGAGAGTAAGAGTGATGCACATGTGAAAAGAAAGAATACTCTTTACTATTAGGGTGAAGAGACCGCCATGCATCGCAGAGTCCATAATCACTCATGTACTGTTTAACTACATTTATGGATTGCCAACTGCGTTGAGCTCCTACTGCATTCAGCCTGTCTATTTTGTTATCTAGACCAAAGTTAAGATCACCTCCCAGTACCAGCGAGCAATCCATGTGATTTGATAGAGTAGAGAAGAGATCATGAAAAAAAGCGGCATCGTCCACATTTGGCCCATATAAGCTAATATGTATTTATCCATAGAGTTGATGTGATCAGTGAAATGTAAGACTTCCTGAGATTTAATTTTACTCCAGGTGTCGTCAACATACCTGAACTAATGACTTGGTGGTGTCTCTGAAAAGGATGTCAAGGCTCTCTTTTCTACCTCTTCCATGTACAGGTTGGCCACAATAGGAGAAACTGGAGACCCCATAGCACACCCATGTTTCTGCCTATAATATTGGCCCCCATATGTGAAGTAGGTTGACTGCAGGCACAGTTTCAAGAATTTTTTCTTGCTATTCTACGGTGAAACCAGACGTGTTTTCCCTCTCTGCCCCCCCCCCCACCCACTTCCCTGCTGTGTTCTTTTGTCCTGTGAACCCTTAAAAAGCCTCTTTTTTTTCCTGCATACCTCTTAATTGGAAGGATCAGCTGGTCTCTCAACAAAATTGATCAACTTCTCCCGACAGGAGTCAGGGTAAGGAGGACACTCTGAACTCTAGAGGAAAAATTGGATTCATGATGATGACTAGAATCTACTGCTTGGGTTGGTGGAATCTGGTTGTCTACAAATTCGTGTGGAGGTGTTGAAGCTTGACAGTGCTCGGACTGAATGTGGAGCTGTGACAGGGAATTGGAGCAGCTGTATTAGGACTGTGTTCTCCCTGGCAGCACTCATGAATGGTGGGAATAATCTGGAGAAGCTGTGAGCTCGACTTTGGAGTAAAGGATCAATTCGGCTGTTTTGGAGTTTCCATCAGATAATATGTACCAGCGCGACTTTAAAGGCAGAAACAACAATTACGAGTTCTGCCTGACCCAAACTGTGGCCTTGATGTTGGTCTTATCTCAACTCCTCCTGGAATGTTTTGAAAACAACAAAGATGCTTTGACTGTTTCCTCACCCCTCCCTTCCCCAAGGCCATGGACATGTAACAGAACCTCAACTGAGCTGAAGATGAACGTCACCTCTTATCTGGACAATGGCTGGGGGGGGGGGGGGGGAGACTCTGGACTATGCTATGACTTTCCCTTAAAAATTCAATGTTTTCACCGCCTATATGTTCATGTATAACGTCTGTTTATGTTGCTTTGCTGTGGTAGGTTTTTTTGATGCCTCAAATTGTGCCCTATCTAGGGCACGGTGTGAGAGATCTTTTTTTTATACCGTCTCTCCTCATGTTTTCTTTCCTTTTCTTATCTAAGCAAAATATTATTCTGAATAAGAATAAGAAGGCTGCACTGATTATTTTAGCCGCAGCTTCGTGCACTCCGCCCATCTTCGGACGACTGTACGTACATATTCGTGTTGTATCTCGGTGCAATGCCAATAAAGTTTATTCTAATTCTGATTCTGAAACAGTTGCTTTGTGGAAAGCGTGGTCCTGCTGTTCAGAGTGGTGTCTGATTTTAATCTTAAACTGACCACCTCTACTGCATCATCAACAGGAATGCACATAAAGAGTGATGTGACATCAAAGGAGACCATTGTTTCATCAGTCTCCAGCAAGTGATGGACTGTACAGATCAGGTACGCTTAGCCCAGCATGTCAAGTCCAAAACTTGACAACAAAACAAGTTTAACTTACTGATAACTCGTCAACACCATCACAATTCCAACAATACCACATTCAGTGGCAGACAACACTCCGGTAGACAGTTACATGCCAGGGAGACAGAAAAGTGGGTGAAGAATTTATCTGACAGACAACTCACCCAGCCGGAGACAGAGATTCTTGCCAGGGGACTGAACTTTGCGGTTGCACCAAGAAGAATTCCTCTGTTCAGTCCCAATTCCTAGAGTTCCCTTCACATTGTGTGTGTGGAAATACTTTTAATTTCACTATTAAACATAGCCGTGAGTGCTACTGTTGTTTTTCTTCCATTTGATTTCACCAAACTTTTAAGTGATCACCGATCACGATCATTCAGGATTTTTTTCCGGCCACATTTCTTCCTCGAAGACGATGGGTCCTCACTATCCTTCCAGTTTTTAATAATGTGTTGGACAGTTCTTAACCCAATTTTAGTAGTTTCTGCAATCTCCTTGGATGTTTTCTCTGCTTGATGCCAATGATTTGACCCTTCTCAAACAGACTGACATCTTTTCCACAACCACACCATGTGTCTTTCAACATGGTTGTTTAAGAAATGAGAAGCAACTCATTGCACCAGTTGGGGTTAAAAATCTTGTTGCCAGCTGAAAGACAATTGCCCTTGCAGAAATAATCCAATAGTAGGCTAGTACCTACTATTGGATTACCTACCTTTGAACAGTTAAATCCAGGTGGAGACTCATTTTTGGCCAGGCAGTGTAGCTAAACTAAAGAAAAGTCCCATTTCTGTTGAACCATGTATCCCTACAACTATAAGTAGTGATGACTTCATGAGATTCTTCATAAATAAAATTATTTCAATTGGAGAGAAAATTCAAACCATCCTTCCTTCTACTATCTCTAGTCCCCTGTCAAATGAGACAACTTTAAAAATTTCACTAGAGCCTGATTTATGCTTGGACAGTTTTTGTCCTGCTGAGTTCTCTGAATTGTCAAAAAAAAGTAACGTCATCCAAACCATCCACATGTCTGCTAGATCCCATCCCAACCAGACTGTTTAAAGAGGTATTTCCCCTAATTAATGTCCACATTTTGGATCTACATAATTTGGCTTTAATGAATGGTTATGTACCACAGCGCTTTAAGGTTGCTGTAATTAAACCTTTACTTAAAAAGTCTGACCTTGATTCAGAAATTTTGGCCAACTATAGACCTATATCTAACCTAACTATAATCTCAAAAATTCTAGAGAAAATAGTTGCAGGTCAGTTGCATGAACATCTACAAAGAAATAATCTGTTTGAAGAGTTTCAGTCAAGGTTTAGAGCTTATCATAGCACAGAAACAGCACTAGTAAAAGCCACTAATGATTTTCTCATGGACTCAGACAATGGACTTGCGTCTATACTGGTCCTGTTAGACCTCAGTGCAGCATTTGATACAGTTGATCACAATATTTTACTACAGAGGCAACTATTCACACTAGGACTAAGCACCTCCATATGCAAATGGGTCCTAGACTTCTTAACAAACAGACCGCGGTCTGTGAGGATCCACAATTCTCCTCCTCCACCATAACCCTCAGTACTGGCTCCCCTCAAGGATATGTGCTCAGTCCTCTCCTGTGCAGCTACCCATCCAGGCTGTCACATTGTAAAATTTGCAGATGATACAGCGGTGGTGGGATGCATCACAAACAATGATGAGTCCTGCTACAGGCAGGAGGTGGAACACCTGGAGAGCTGGTGCAAAGAGAATAACCTTAACATCAATGTGAAGAAGACAAAGGAGATGATTGTGGACTTCAGAAGGAACAAACTCACCTACACCCCTCTGAACATGAGGACCTGTGGTGGAAGTGGTCTCCAGCTACAAGTGCTTGGGTGTCAGTCAGAGTCCCAGCTAACCTAATACTGGTAATTTAAGTTACAGAATTTTATTTAAATAATTAGGTGGAGTGGATTCATTCACGTTAACTTCAGATGGAACAAACCCACCTACCCCCCTCCCCCGAACATAGGAGGATTTGTGGTGGAAGTGGTCTCCAGTTACAAGTACTTGGGTGTA